TTTGCAGGATCCTATTATTGATAATTGTTACGAATGGTTTATTAGACCTTTATAGCATTGAATTCATAATGAAATGACTAATATCAAGGAAAACTGTTATGCCCGATCTTTTTGACAGTTGGTGAAATTCGATCATATATCAGCGACAACTAAAAACATATAATCAAATCATATTTAATTCAGCTTCTTTAGGGCTAGTTCAGCTTCAGTATTTCAGCTATTTTCGTTATTTAAACTAAATACTTCGACTTGGTTGAGTTCTCAAGTCAACACTAAGTCCCTCTTTTCAAAAAGAACCTGTCATCAGAGATTTTCAATTATGTTTCGTGTTTTTTTTCGGACTCTTGATTTTCTTTGGTCTTAGCTAAGTCCACGACATATTTATTATTTGTCGTTGGTGAAGATCAAAGTTTTCTATCACGTTGTTCTCGATTTCAAAATCTCCAATTCTTGTTTCGTATACTTTTTCTCTTTTGACGGAATAGACTGCTTTTGCTAACGAGAGCAGGCTATTTTAAATAATTGCCGTGCACATAAACGATTTTGTTTCCACATCAAAAATAGAGTTTTTGCTTTAGTGTGTTTTTAGCCAAAACTATTTTTGTTCGCAAACGTCAAGTTTTATGGATAAAGACTATGTGATTTCATCATCAAGAACTTGTTCTTCAGGCTTTTTTGATTTTTAACCTGCTATTTCTTCCAGTTACTTTGATCATGCGTGCGTAGTAGCTCAGAGGTTCCAAATTCATTTCTATCGGAACTTCAGAACAGGCTTTGAAATCGACGCTTGCAAACTGAAGTTCATTGCCAGAGATTAGATTTTCTGGTACTCAATATCTGACTTAAGCTGCCGACAGGTCCTCCTTGACTTGAGGAGTAGTCCATTGTTAGTCATGAAGTTTTAGCTTTAACAAGTACCAACTTTTCTTTTAGCGTCAACAGGAATCAATCCCTGCATAATTTATATCGATTTAAACTCAAACGTCTGTTTGCTGCTACTTGGAGTTGTTGTTCCGACTTTCGATACGAAAGTAACGGAATATTTGTGCTCGGGGTGGGTTTTTTTTTCTTCAGACAAATTTCGACTTTTTAACTAGCCGTTTTTGACGGAATTTTTTTATATCATTCAAAAGGTATTGTTGTCCTGAGCTTAAATTTGAAAAGATATTTCACCTGTGATCATTTTTCGTAAAGTTATGAGGGTTTAAAGATTGCCATTTTGACCAATTTGGGACAATTAACGCGCGATATAATTCGCGCTATTAACGCGTAAGCGGAGATTTAATCCGTCTTATAAATCGTTCCAAATTGGTTGACGAAGCTTATTTGCCACAATTGATTTGTTACAAGGAACGAAATCTATCTTTTTATACTTTATATGGCGCGTAGGGGGATGATTTTCATGAAAAATTTCAAACTTTAGAAAAAAAAATTTCATTTTATTTTATTTAATTTAATTTTTTTTAATGTTATTACTATTGCTCCATGAACCTTAAAAGGCAGTCGGAACATTCAGGGCTTCGCCCTGATACGAGCAGTCTTGTTTTTCTTAGTTATGGTTTGTTCTTGCCATATTTCACGTCTATTGAGAAGTGATTACATATCTTGCGACTTGGCATGCCCGCATTTTTTGTCTGCCCTAGTGGATGCTTTTCTTGAGCACCATCTTTGCTTTGACTCCTGATCTGCTGTAGTGCGAAATGTACAGCACCTCGGTATATCAATCCATCTCACGCTGTGATTTTTTCAGCTTCCTTAAAATGGGAATCAGGCTTTGAGCATTGCGATCAACCGCCAGTCTTTGTGCGTTTATGGACGTCGTGAAAGATGCAATTGAGTGAAATTATTTTTTGATAACCATGAGGTTGGTTGCATCTGTCTACGAAGCAAGCGTCTTTTAAAAAATTTTGCCATCTTCTGGTTACTCATCAAAGTGCAGTCTACGTACAGCGTTCGCATTTAGGTTCTGCTATCCTGATTTATGGTTTAATTTGTGGTCAAACGCATCAGCGCAATAGCCCCTCTAATGGCAGATGTTGTTTTTGATATCTTTTTGTCAGTAGCTATTTATAACCATTTTGCAGAGTAAATTTGCGCCCGAAAAAATTCTTTAATTGTGACATCATAAACACTATTGCCAAAAAATCTAAATTTTATCTTGGAGTGGTTATCCCCGGTTTCTGATAGCCTCAAGGAAAACTTTGAGGTTCTGAGAGAACACAATCAACTACCTGTCCCGTTGTATTGGTTGTCAGTCTCTTTTTGCGTCCAGGGTTTTAAACAAAAATTATGCTTGGTTTCCTGAAAAACTTAGTGTCGTGTTCGCTAGTTTTCTCAAAGTTCTGACGATAGGCGTTTTAACAAGAGCATCTTCTTGGCGAGGTTCGATACCTTCTGTTAGTGCCAGTCCACAATAGCATAAAACATTTTCCTGGTTCGCAATTATCCTTTTATTCGAAACTTCTCAACTAGCCAATCGTCAGGTTTTACTCTAGCAGCTGCTAGTTAATAAAACAATACGTCGTAAGTGTCTTTGGGCTTCATTTTTTCGTCAATAAAATTTTTTTGTGATTGTCTGTTTATTTCAAGCATATGCTGTTTCAGTTTTTGTTGTGCTCTTGTTATCCCAAGGAAAAAGTAGGTCGTGCAATCTTTTCATAAACGAGCATTCCTTTGGTTTGTCTGAGTGTATAGTAGCTGCAATTTTGAAAAAATTAGGAAACATTTTCCAGCCCTAAAGCAGTCGCATATCTTAGTGGCTTCTGCAAGGTTTTTGTCGTCGTCTACTTTGATTTTGTTGTACCGTTTAAGACGTCAGATGTTTGGGGAAAATGTCTCCATGCCGCCTAGCGTGTAGTCTTCATCCATTATATTGGCTAGAAGCTGAAATTTTGAGGCGGCACACTCTTAACATACTGATGCAAAAAATATATAAATTTTTTTGAATTCATTCTCAGGGTGTTCTGTTATTTCTTTTATTGTATTGCTAGCCGCATAACCAGCTTTATTGTTCCGACTTTCGATACGAAAGTAACGGAATATTTGTGCTCGGGGTGGGTTTTTTTTTTCTTCAGACAAATTTCGACTTTTTAACTAGCCATTTTTGACGTAAATTTTTTATATCAATCGAAAGCTATTGTTGTCCTGAGCTTAAATTTGAAAAGATATTTCACCTGTGATCATTTTTCGTAAAGTTATGAGGGTTTAAAGCTAGCGTTTAAAGATATAATTCGCGCTATATTAACGCGTAAGCGGAGAATTAATCAGTTTAAGAAATCGTTTCAAATTGGTTGTAAGAAGCTTATTTGCCACAATTGATTTGTTACAAGGAGCGAAATCTATTGTTTTGTACTTTATATGGCGTGTGGGGGTTGATTTTCATAGAAAAATTTTCGAATTTTAGAATTTTTTTTTTCATTTTATTTTATTCCATTTAATTTTTTTATGTTGTTTATGTTATTACTGCTCCATAAACGTTAAAAGGCAGTCGGAACTTTCAGGGCTTCGCCCTGATACGAGCAGTCTTGTTTGCTATTTCCTTTTCGATTTTTATTTTTTAAAAAAGACTGTGGTTGATAGCTAAAGCGTGAGACAGTTTGCTAATCAGTTATAATAAGTAGTTATGTCCGTTTTTACTCTATTTGCCTCAAGTAACTTGAGTTTAGATTCTGCAGTTCTAAATTGGGTAATGAATTTGTTTCATATCATATCTTCTTCCGCATTGTCGGTTTTCCTAAGTTCTGAAGACTTTGTGCGAAACCGGATTCCTAAATTTCATGATTCCTTGCAGTCCGCACTGGCTGAGGAAGAAATTTGTATATTGGAGGTCAGCAAGATGCGTTCCGTCTGCAGTTTCGCTTTGTTATTTTCTTTTCCGAGGGCAATCTTTATAAAAGCAGTCATTAAGCTCACTGCCCACTCAGTTTTGGAAGATCCAGTGAATTGTTTTAAATAATCAAATGGCCCGACGACTGCACACCTGTTTTGTTTTGGTGCGACCTAATATGGAGATTTTCATTTAGATTGACCTAAGTAATCTTTGTTTTTAAACTAGTCTAAAGCTCGTTTTTAAATTTTTTTCTTGTCTTTAGCTCACATAAGATTTTTTTATCTTGGATGATTTCTCATGTCATTACAGGGTGTGAGAAGTTACTAAAAAAATTCGTTTCCAGATTAATATCATACAAGTTTCGTCTTCGCTACTCAGAAATCGGGAAAAGATGGAATCGCAGATGACTCAAACCAACGTAAACAACTTTCTCACTAGCAGAGAAGTCGAAAAAATAGTGGAAAGTTTTGGGTCTACTTTGCATGAAGAATTCATATCTCCAGTGAGAAGATCAAAAAAGAATAAGGGGAAAGGGGATAAGAAGAAAAGCGGTAGGAAAAGTGATACTGACACGGCTGCACATGGCGATCAAAAGCGGCTAATTAGGGCGGGAAGGAAAAGCGTGATTGAAAAACCCAGAAAAAAGGAGAGCTAAAAAGTGTTGGTGTCAAAAAGAGGACGCGTGGCGCAATGGATGACGACGCAATTGTAATAAACTAATAAATCGATTTGTTCTAATTTAAACACCCAAGTCGATGTAAAATATTAAATATTAAACTATATGAAACGATCAAATTCAAACTAAATTACTTATAAAACCCATTCTCGACTAAGAAAGATAACTCCAAAATATACTATTTTTTTTGCAAGGCCTAATTCGTCTTTTGGTGGCTATTCGAGTGGCACAAGGACTAAATATGTTACAAGAAATTTCAACCAATCAGAATCCTTTTAAAACAATCGCAACTTCGATCCTTAACTAAAACAAATCCCCTATCCTTAACTAAAAAAAAACAGAAAATTTGTTAAAACTATCAATGTTTTGTTCTTAATTTTCACGAATATGCTATGTTTTGCTGAAAGTCTTTTAAAATGTGGAAAAATAGTTGAAACTTTACGATAAATCAAGCGAGTCAAAGATTGAAAATATCAAATCATAAAATGAACCAACCAGCACAGTATGAAGTGTTTGTCTTCTGGTCCACATGCCAACTCAACCCATCAGGACATGTGCAGTAGTAACCCCCAATTGTGTTCACGCATCCGTGAGTGCACTCATTCACGCGCTGTTCACATTCGTTCACATCTACGCACATATTCGGGTGTTCACGGTCGATCTCGTATCCATGGTAGCAAGTGCACGTGGGCATGTCGTCAATCATTTCACATTGTTGACTGCATCCGAAGTTGCCATGGTAACAAGTTGGTCTGCATTGATTTATACCAACAGAAGTATACTCAGGTCGGCATGTGCACAAAGTTCCGCGTGATGTAGAATGACAATAATGCTGGCATCCACCTAGTCGTCCGAGCATTGGTCGACAAATGTGGGACGTTCGACCATCACACATGCTTCTATATTCGGAAGTTGTCAAAGATTTATAGAGTGCACTGTCTTCGGCACCATAGCAGTCGCAATAATACGAGCCGATTGTGTTGACGCACCGTCCAATTTTGCAAGGATTTCTTGACTCTTGACATTCGTCGATATCTAGAACCAAATCAATTTATAAATGTCAGTTTATATTTTCCAGAAATAAGTCAAATGAAAAAATTTGCTCCAATTTAAAATCTTGGATTTTAAAAATTTACCATATTTGTTTATCATTCAATTGGTTTATTGTTCCGACCACTTGAAAAATGGGGAGGAATTTTGTATTCTTGTGTTTTAGCTTTTTTTCTTTTTTTGTTTTCCACGCAAAATCAGGTGCCACAAACAATCATCAGATTGTGTTGAGTGATATATCATATTGAAGCTTTTTCAGTTGTAATTTGAACCACCTTAAGAAATGTACTAGAAAAAAATTTCTCTGTGTCAAGAAAACCTGGTTTGAAAATTTAAATTTTTAATGCCATCAGGCTTAAGTCAAGACGATTACAAAAGCCATATGCTCGAGTAAATTTAGTTTTAGGATTTTTCTAACGCTTTTTTGGACGTGAAAAACTTCAAAAATTCAAAAACAGATCTGTAAAAAAATGGAAAAAATGTGTAGTTTTTAAAATATTTTTATAATGTTTCTTTTTTACAGATCTAGTCATTTTTTTTAAATGTTTCGAATTTACCTCTTTTACTGCGACTGTCGAATGTTTCTAAGCTCTAGCTTATTATTTAGATCCTTTAGACTCGCCACCCAGAAAAAAAAACAACACTAAATTTTAAAACAAAAAACTTTTTTTGTGTGTTTTTTTCAAGACTATGGTATAAACATTCTGTGCTACTTGCACAATAACTTGCTGCATTTGTTTTATTTTGAAACATACCCATATTACAACGCTAAAAGCACTAAACTGATAAATCGTTGTGGTTGGTGAGGCTTAATGGTATATTTGCTTTTTATCTGTCATTAAATTGAGATACGAAAAAAATAATGTTTGCATGTTCGATACGCAAACATAACTGTTCATAGCAGATTTGATCAACCCATTGTTATAATTTTTTCAAGACACTTAACTTACTGAGAGAAAAAAATGAACAAACGAGTTGAGTACCACATCCGAATCTAACCTATGACATTCTATCCTGTATACCAATCTACCCTCAGCCAATCTACCTACATTATACAAATCTAATGTATGCTTGATAATCCTCAAACTTATCTTTTATCACATGTAGTATTAGGTACATATCTGGAGGCGCTCTTTTTTAAACCTGCCGTGTAGACTCAAATTTAGTCTTGATAATAAAGAACATGAGGATTTAAAAGATTCGATTGAAACTTTTGAGCATTTAGAGCTCTTACCAAATTTAATCCCCAATTTTTGCTTAGCAAAATAGAAACGGAAGCAAAGTGTGATTCGTTCTATCAAGTTATTACACGCAAACTAGAAGACCATGAACTACATTAGATGGGAATTTCATTGCGAAACTGCACAACTTTTATTCTCGATGATCATTAGTTAAAATAAACAAAAAGCAAAAAACGGCAATATTCACTGGAATTGTTCAAGAAAGAGCTGGCAGTAGTGTTAAGTGACTGCAATCACTCAAAAGGACAGCCTAGTATCTGACAGAAGTCAGCATAGCCACAAAACTTTCCTGGGATAGTCGGATTTATGGATGCTTGTTCTAAAAATGAAGCAATATCCGCAAAGTCCAACTAGTACCTATCAACAGCAGCATCATAGCAAGCTGTTTGCAGTCCACCCAGGATGAAAAATTGTCCAATTGACACGACTATGTCGGTCTGCGCTAAATAAAGCCCGCAACCGACTAAAAGTATTCGAACGACCGTTTGCGCCACCAATTATTTGCATCAAACTTTTCGACATCCTACAGCATCTGGATGATTTTCGTTTTTTTTTTCAACGATAGCATAGACATTCGAGACATTCATTATTATCAAATAAAAACATTACTTTTGGTCTGCCAAAGAATGTCATAAACTAAAACCAATGGGGGACCCTTTGGTTGATGAGGAGTTCAAATCTTCAAAGGAAGCGCGTCCCCCTAAATCCACCCACGACAGCGTCAAAACCCTCAACCAATTTTTTTTTTTTGAAACCAAAAAATTTTTGGTCTCAATTTTTATTTTATTTTCGAAACCCAAAAGTGAACGGAATCTATTTTTATGGAATCGGATGGTGCTGTTAAATGTTTCAAAAAACGCTCAAAAACGCGGTCAAAAATTGATAACAGGAGTGCTTGTATCAGGTCAAGGCCCTGCTGACTGTTCCGACTGCCCTTTAAATGGTCTGGAAAAGTTTTGTTAAACTGAATGTTGCAAAACCTCTTTTTAGGCTGATAATATCTCTTGAATCTTGTTTTGAGTCGTGCATGGAATTAATAATCCCAATTAGCTGCCTCAATTCAATTTAAAACAATTTTATGATTCTGGTTAGTTTAAAGTATTGTGTAAAGTATTGAACGAGCAATTTAGTCAGATTTGCGGCAGGCTACTATAGTTGTGTTTTACCCAGCTGAGCCCATACATAACAAGGAATCGATACCCCGTGGAAACAAAGAGTTTTCTGAAATTTATTTGAGCCAACAAAAACCACCCCGATATCTATGTTCCTCACTCTCTTTGAAAGTCGGAACAAAAATCCACCCCGAGCAAATATGTTCCTCATTTTCTCCTAAAGTCGGAACAACAAATAATCTTACGCTTAGGCTGTGCTCGATTAACGTTTTTTATTTTCCTTTTACTCAACTGTCTTATGGCTCAACCTATGTTACCACTATACTGACTTTTGAAGAAAGAGATGGAATGTTTGTGCTCGGAGCGGTTTTTTTTATCAGCAGAGAAAAATTTCGACTTTTCAATTAGCCATTTTTGACCAAATTTACCATCTGAAAGGTATTGTTGTCTTGAGCTCAGTTTTAAAAACAGAATGTACTGCGATCGTTTTCCGTAAAGTTATGGGGTTTTGAAATCAGTTTGGCCAAATTGGGACAATTTATTACGCGCTATTAACGCGTTCGCGGAGATTAAATCAGCCTTAAAACTAGGTTAGGATTGGTTGAAGCAGGCTATTTGTAATAATTACTACGTTACTAGGAGCGAAATTTTTCACTTTGTTTTTTTATATGGTGTCTGGTTTCCATATGATGGCTTTCAAAAACCAATAATGTTTTAAAATGTTTATTTTTTTCTTTTTTTTTGATTTTTTTTTTCATTATTTGACACCAAACAATCCATAGCCATGCAGAAGGTGCAGCCGGAAGATTCAGGGTTCCGCCTTGATATGAGCACTTTTATTAGAATGTAGAAATACTATTGTTCAAATCAAAAAATATGTTTTTATTCTACTATGTTCAATTATAATGGACTATAATCTTTTTTTAAAAAAATCTTTTTTGAAGTTTGCTGAACACCACCACTACTGATGCGCCACAACGCAACTCATAAAGTGTTAGGCAGAAAATATTTTCTGAAATATGGTTGTTTAATCCAAATGAAGTTGACAAGACTGACCTATACAGTTGAAGAATAGTTGGGGATCTACTTTGAATCCAGGGTGGCAGTCACAGTCATAGGAGCCTTGCAGGTTCACACACTTGTGCACACAACTCGTAGGCAGAACAGACAAAACCTCCACGGATGCCATCACACTACACTCGTCCACATCTAAGTGGAAGAAAAATTGGGTATAGTAAACTAAACACCCGAAAAACAACAACTTTTAGAAGAAAAATAACCAAAAAAAATTGCATGCAGTTCTTAAACAGGGGAACAACAGCTGTTCTCCGGGATGAGCTGTACAGCTATTGTGTTGGTCCTTTCCCCCGTGGATAAATGGTCTTAATCTAAAAGACAAACAGATGGTTTATTCGCGTGCAAGGGAGCGCTGAACAAAAAAAAACGCTAAGTTTTTAGTCAGAAGTTTCCAAAAAATGCCCCAAATTGTTTTACAAGGCCAATTTTATCATAACTCGCCTGTAATGCAAGAAAATGACCTAATGAGGTATTTTAGTGCTTTGGAAGATTTTGCATAATCAATTTGGCCAACTTATAAACAAGACCGACAAAATTTTCAGTTTTTTTTGAATATCCACCGAGAAAACCCTAGATTCGCTCCGGCTCTAATCCGATTCCCGCTGAATCGAGGATTATTTTTTCAAACCAGATTATATCTCTCAGACCGGCTATTTACTCATGTTTTTTTGCTATACAAGTACTTTGACCATGTGGATTCCTTATAATTTACCATCACAAGTGTGAGTGTTCTGATTCCATATGTATCCCACTTGGCAGCTGCAGTAAAACTGGTCCTCGTCTATCCATCGGCACCAATCACTGTTCAAAATCACCAATTCTAAAATAAACAGGATGATTCTCTCTCGTTTTTTTTAGTATTTTCTATCTTAAAATTTTTCTGCAGTCTTTTGTGTCCAAAAACTAATTCTTTTAATCTTCATGCGTGATTTGAGCTTTTTTCAGTCTCCGTGAGTACAATTCGACCCACGAGATCAAAGTTTGGTTCATTTTTATCATTTTGATTCTTTTTCTATCATTTTTACCATCAGAATGTTAATGATCCATTCTTACCATTCTGATGAAAGCCAGCATTGACCACCATACTGATTCGCTTCAAACTAGTTCCAGATCTCTTTTCACTGCCCACTAATCTGTTCAGTCCAATGTACAAATCAGTCTCGTCTTTCAAGTTCAAAAGAGGTCGAGAAAAGTGTCGACTCAGCAAACTAATAGAACTGTCTCTGTTTGTGAACACGTGAAAACAGTCAGAGTTCATGCTTATGAAGTATTCCAAGGCGTTTACCATGCCTTGATCGTCAATTTTGATCCGAAAACATTTCTTGGACCCAATTTTTTGTCGTGAAATACTGTCGTTATAGTGTTCGGAAGTAGTCCGAAATGATTGATATGTATGGTCAAATTGGTTGGAATGTAAAGAGAGCTGTTCGTTGAAAATCTAAAATAGACTATTTCTTTTTGGAAGGAAAAAGAGCCAAAAATGATTGACTATTGAAAATCTAGTTGCATTTTTCGCCTTTTTTGGGTACTGCCTCGTCGCGAAATTCTGGATTTTCTAGAATATAGTAAAAGTAAGCTGGACAACCAAATGGAAGTCAATTCGAAATGGAATCAATAAAAAGATAAAATCGTATAATGTGTACAATTTGATTTCCATCATATTGAATAAAATATGGGGGATTTAGTCCTGGGGGATTATATCCGGTGGGATTTTATCCGGGAGGATTTTATCCTTGGGATTTAGTCCGCGAGCGCATTATTTTGATCTTTAAAAAATGCATTTTTTTGTGTTTCCAACTTAACATTGGGTTACCTGTAACTCGGCTAGCGGACATGGTTGCGATTTACATCCGAAACCGGTCGAGTCACTTTTAGTCGAAATATGCAGTGAGAATAAATCAGGGACATCTTTACTGATTTCCAGCTCCGCTTGGATCTCGATGCTCTTAATTTCTGACATTATCTGGTGTAAGTTAACCAAGTCCATTCTTAGAAGTCCTCTTGGGGTGAGATGCGATTGGTCGAATGAGAATATGGATGTGTTGCTGGTGTAGAAACTGGCTGCTCTGATGTGGCTGAGGTCAACTGACGCTGTCTGTCTAACCGGCAAAGTCGCCGTTTTGAAACCTGCTGGCAAAAAATATGCGTAATAATACATGTCACTGCCCAAAAACTTAACTTAGTCAACTACAGACTGCGATCGCTACTTTCCTTTTGGAGTTCACTTTATTCAATTTTTCTGTTTCTTCAAGACTGCTCGTATCAAGGCGAAGCCTTGAATGTTCCGACTGCCTTTTAAGGTTTATGGAGCAGTAATAAGAAGAAAAAATTAATTGTAATAAAATAGAATGAAAAAGATTTTTTTTTAATTTGAGATTTTTTGTCCCCCCCCCCCCCCACACGCCATATATAGTACAAAGTGATAGATTTCGCTCCTAGTAACAAATCAATTATGGCAAATAAGCTTCCTTTAATCAATTTGAAACGATTTCTAAGATGGATTAAGTCTCTACTTAAGCGTTAACCGCCCGTTAATTGACCCAAACTGGCCAAAATGACTATCTTTAAACCCCCATAACTTTACAAAAAACAATAATGGGTGAAATAACTTTCCAAATTTAAGCTCAGGACAACAATAATTTTTCATTGGTGTAGAAAAATTCCGTCAAAAACGACTATTTAAAAAGTCGAAATTTGTCTAAAGAAAAAAACATCCCGAGCACAAATATTCCGTTACTTTTGTTACGAAAGTCAGAACAATAAAAATAAATTGAAAAACTCAGTCAAAAATGGCTAGTTAAACAGCCGAAATTTGTCAAAAGAAAAAAGCACCCAAACCACAAATATTCCGTTACTTTCGTTACGAAAGTCGGAACAATAAAAAAAAACGAAAAACTCAGTCAAAAATGGCTAGTTAAAAAGCCGAAATTTGTTTGAAGAAAAAAAACACCCCGACCACAAATACTCCGTTACTTTTGTTTTTTGAAGTGAAAAAACCTGCAGGTTATGGTACGTATGAAGGCATGTTAACTATCAAGGACGAGACATAAATGCTCGACATATACAATGAGGTTTTTCAGCTCTTTCCTAAATTTGAGTCTGAAAAGCAAAGAAGTGAAACCAATTGATTGCAATACGGAGGTAACTTTTTTCGAATATGGTTTTGCACTGACCCCCACTAATTTTTCTTGAAGCTGCCCAAAACGAACAAAAAGTTCTCCTCCTTGTCAATTTTTATACTCACACTGTGAGTCTTCAGTATGTTATAGTATTACAAGACTGTTTGTGTACAAGGGAAAAGCCCTGAATGTTCCCTTTGCCTTTTTGTTGGTCTCCAATTGTTTTTTGCTAGGACAGATATGATACACCATGCATTTTGTATTGTGAGCATCAACTAATAAATGTTAAAAAAGAGTCGTATAAAAAGTATCTGGCCAAGTAACCGATTTCAATACGGAACAAGGTAGCCAGTGGCTTTACAAGTAGCACAGAATGTTCGCACCACGTTTCAGAGAAATATATTTCCATATTTTTTCTTCAAATTTGTTTTGTTTTTGTACATCGCGTGATGATGCACCTACATGAACGCGTAAAAAAATATTAAAATAGGCAAAAATAAATTTAATGATTTTCAAAAATAAGTTAAAAACATGAAAAAAGAAAACTTGAAAAAAACTTTAAAACACTTTTGAAAAAAAAAATTGCCAGAGAAAAACTAAAGGAAGCTATTTTGTAGTAAAATCAATTTTTTGAAAAATCAAAATATCTCAAAATGGTTTTTATCATCTTGTTTGATGACTATTTCTGGTACCTGCTTTAGCTTGGAAAACAAAAAAAAATTAAAAAAAAAATTAAAACATCCAAATACAAAATTCTTCCCCATTTTCAATGATCGGAACAACAATTTTGTGTGCGAGATAATAAATGTTATTGTGCTTTCAGCATCAGAGCATTATGTATCTTATCCTCCAATATCTAAATGAGCCTCTTATGTAGAATCAACATGAAATTTAGGAAAGTTCAAACCTGCCTGGAAATACGCAGATTCTAAGATTGATGCAAGAATAACAAATGTTAAAAAAAAAACAACAAATTAAACATTTTCAATAAGTTTTTATCAATTTAAGAGTCGATTTAAGAGTTTTCATAATTTTTAAAAAATTTTTAAAAAGAAATTAAAAGATTATCTTGTAAGAAATTATAAAAAAAACTAGAAAAAAATCGTATTAATTAACTTTATTAACGTTATCTTTAATTATACGTATACGCAGTTGTATAATATATTTAATTATAATTTTATATATATATATATATATATATATATATATATATATATATATATATATATATATCTATATATGTATATATATATAGAACCTATACATTAGTTATTATATAGTTATGTAAACATGTTTGTCGTTATTCAAATTTTGTTCTAACATTTTTTAAATAGCAGATTCAGGCACAGAACACTGATTCACGCGCAGTATTCCACTTGTGCCGAATGAGGACGGAAGTGGAGCAAGAATTGCCAATGCTTTATTGCGACTTTTTGATTGTTACGAATTGTTGCTTCTCACAAAATATCGCCCCATCAATTTTTTAGCACTTTCGTGAATTGGACGTTGTGAACCAATTTTATCAAGATAAATACATCCAAAAATTGGAATATTTTATGGGATTGTCTTAACCTCGATGATAAAAGTCTAGAAACAACTTCTGAGCTGGTGTTTATTGTTCCGACTTTCGATACGAAAGTAACGGAATATTTGTGCTCGGGGTGGGTTTTTTTTTCTTCAGACAAATTTCGACTTTTTAACTAGCCATTTTTGACGGAATTTTTTTAATATCATTTGAAAGCTATTGTTGTCTTGAGCTTAAATTTGAAAAGATATTTCACCTGTGATCATTTTTCGTGAAGTTATGAGGGTTTAAAGATTGCCATTTTGGCCATTTTGACCAATTTGGGACAATTAACGCGCGATATAATTCGCGCTATTAACGCGTAAGCGGAGATTTAATCCGTCTTAGAAATCATTCCAAATTAGTTGGAAGAAGCTTATTTGCCAGAATTGATTTGTTGCTTGGAGCAAAATGTATCATTTTGTACTTTATATGGAGTGTGGGGGGATGATTTTCATAAAAAATTTCAAATTAAAAAAAAAATTCATTTTTATTAATTTTTATTTTTATAGGTTATTACTGGTCCTTAAACATTAAAAGGCAGTCGGAACATTCATGGCTTCGCTCTGATACGAGCAGTCTTGTTTTATATTTATTTTTGAAAGGTTGTTTTTTTACCGAAATATTTTTACCGAAAACTCTAAAAACTGTAATTTAGCGTGTTGATGTACTTGGTCATGCTGAACTGAAGTCTGTTATCATTAAAAATTGTCAGAGTTGTTTACCGCAACAATAATTCCCTGGCTATTAAAAAATTCATAATTTTTGCCGTTGGCTTCGGAAAACTCGAAAGTTAAAAACAATAAATACCTGATCGATCTTCTGAGCTCACGATTAACCTCGATAACTATGTTGACGATTCACACTTGCTTATCATAATCTATTGGCCTTGCGCTAATTCACTTACCATAATGGCTACTACCTGCAACAGAAACAGGTGTGAAAAAAGTAGAGAGTAGGATAAAAAGTATGAGCAGCAGTAGGGCGGGCGGTGGAGTGGTCGGCGCCACTCTATCACAACTCATGTCGAGGCACTATTGCTTCCTGATAGTAGTCTGATCGAGGGTCCGTGGCGTCCGGGCAAAGAAATAGTCGTGAACACATATTCTACAGCTCCTGCGAGTCAAAAATCGAATAGAGACGCCACTCATACTGTTGTAAATGAATTGAAAGATTTGCTGCTAATTGAAAAAGGGATTGGAGCCATGTTTTAAGCTCAAGTTTGTTTAGCTGATCACAAATTGGGATCAATTTTTCCCAGGTTTCCTTCAAAAACGAGACTGGAAAGTGTTAGTTGCAGACCAGAAGCCTGGTCGCGGCCAAACTCTATGGCGGGCGAGTCCGCAAATTAAGTTTCGATCTAAATCTAAGTCTGATAACTTATTACAATTTCTAGGTGTGTTGGGGCGCTATGGCTGAGCTAGTTAGCGACAAAGGGATCAGTTTTGAACAGGTAACTGGCCAATCAATTGGGTTTTAATTCCACCCGATTAAAGTCGAGATTGGTGGGCTTAATGGATATTTGCTGGGCGATGGAACCAAGTCGTTACTTGTCAGTTTGGGCTGCAAAGGTAATAAATGGTTATTTCATCCTATAACCAACGCGGTTCAGCTAAATCTGCTAAAAGCGAATTGCAACGAACCCCTCTTTTTTGTTGCCTATTTGGCCATATCTTTGTCAATTTAAGTCCGCTTCAAAAAACCTTTATTTGCCAGGGATTAATCAACCCACGCACCTAGATTTCGATAACCCGGAAATATGGCGTTCTGGCGTCGCCAGGGCAGCGAAATTGTTAGCTTAAACTCTGAGTAAGGAATCAAACATGCCAGTATAGATTTAAAATTATGGCTCAGCTTGTTCAAGTTTTCAGAAGTTTTACACTTGGTTTTGACGTTGATCACCAAGATATGATTTCGAAAAGAGCAAGTTGACAGGAACTTAAATGTTATAACTACTCTAATAAGTGGTTCCTCCTCGTAAATTTAACCCAAACCTTTTGCCTCAAAGGCTAATTTAATCACCCTTAAACAAAACTTCAACACAACAGCAACAAACTTGACAGTGTAACTTGCAAATCTAGATCATTTGAAGCGAAAATTGCCACAGTTTCATGTCAAACAATTTCTGCCCGGGACTAACAAGTGCCCGATAAAACGGCTGCAGAGCTCTCACTTGCCTTCCTTTTGAGCGCTTTAACTGGCGGGCATAATAAATTGAGGCACCATAAATGCTTACCATCCAATATGTCATACCCATTAAAAGTCTAAAAGAAGTGATTCATCAGTTCTAAAGCTTCAAGCTAAAAAACTTCGACGAAATTTCACCAAAATGACAAAAATTATATTTCTGACAAAAGGCAAAATTGATGACCGAATCACGAAAACACGTTGTGGACTCGATCTAACTATCAACCTATTCAATATGTTTCAAAAATTTATGAAAAAAAGATCACATTAAATGGGTCAATGCAATCACAAATACCCCATTGACCAATTGAACCAATTCATCGTTTAAAACGATACTAAGCTAAATGAAGATACTTATTTGGGTCGTACTTTGATAAAGGAAGTTTTAATGTTTTCTTTCAACTATAAATTGTTTAAAATTTTTTAAGCCCAAATTTAATTAGACTTGAAGCTTTTGAAGCTTTCTTTGAAGCTTCTGCTCCAAACTCAGTCTTGCGAAACTCAAAAATAGCACTAGATATACAAATGAGACTGCTCGTATATCAGCGCAAAGCCCTGAATGTTCGACTGCAATTTGAGGCCAATTAAAAAAGTTTGGTTGAATATTTGACGAAATCATTATAAAATAATGTTTTTTTTTCTTTTTTTTTTCTCCGTTTTTATCTCCCCACACGCTATGTAAAATAAAATGATATCTTTAGCGCCTCATAATGTTTTAAAAGGACCAAATTGCTGGCTTCATTTTAATTTCGCACGTATTAACTTCCCACTTACGCGGGTTACAAGAGCGCAGTATATCGCGTTTTAATTATCCCAAAATGACCCAGGTAGAAATTTTCAAACCAACGTGAATTTGCGATAAATTTTCAGAAGTGGAAAAAGTTTTTGATTTTGAGCTCAACAGAACAATATCTTTCAATTGGTATAAAAATTTTTGTCAAAAACGCGTAGCTGAAAAGTAGGAACTGAATAAAAACTACCCCAAGCTTAAATATTCCGCATTTTTTCGAAGGTCGAAATAACAAACTTTATCATCAGGTTTTTCTCAGAATCGTTAAACTTTAATAATCAAATCAAAAAAATATGAAGACCAAGAAATTCAAAATCAGAAAAATTATAAACTAGTATTAAATATCCACCTCTATTCAACTCTTTATCATAAACTGATTTGTATCTAACTCTCCCCGTTTTCAAAATAGGGCGGAAAATTTTTTTAATCCAAATTAGGCACACACACACACGTGTATATATACAAGGGAGAGAAAACACTTTCTAACGACGTTATAATAACATTTTAGAGCAGGAAAAAAATTTTAAAAGTCTTACAATAGGCCAAATGTCTTAAATCGAATTTTTAATATTCGCAGTATAAATCAGTAATAGTTAAGATACACTTCGATTTGGTCGGTTCAAAAAATTTTGATTTGATGCAAAAATTTTTGTTCTCACGGATGCGACTGAAAGAACCTCGAAAGAGCTGCTCGCTTTTGAAACATAATTACGCTAAGCAGTCGTAATCAACACTTAAAAACAATGGACGGACTTTTGAAGTTCTGATTAATTTTAACATGAAATTTAGTGCCTCTTTTTGACTGCTTGCTGCACTGCTAATGTCTCTACCTGGGAAGTTGCAGAACCTGACTTCGAATTCGGCTAAGGCTTCTCTTTTTCCAAACTGAAACTTTTTCGAATGAAGAAATAATTGTCGGCTTATCGTGTACATACTTATTTTATGACAATTTAATTGCCACAACACTGGCTTTTCTTGCAAGTTAGGCAATTTACACTGTAATTGAAATTCATTTCATTGGATGTCTGTAATGGTGGGTGTTACCGACTTTCAAAAAGTTTTCAGGACACGCTGATTTTTCTCTGAGATTTTTACAATTGCATCTTTTTATGTGTGTATTTTTGTCCTTTCGGTGTCCTCTTAATGGCAAAATAGCAAAGAAATAAGCTATGTCTCAGCTTTTTGCAGTTTCTATAATCAAATAGTTGAAAGAATGATTGAAAGAATTTGATTTTTCCTGTATTCCACAATTGATTATATCGTTTGGCTGGAGTTTGTCACATGAAATTTTATCAACTTTTAAACTATGTCACAGAATGGTTAGAGTAATAAGAAATATGCTTTTGTTATGTTAAGCCTGAAAACTGGCATATATTTTTGTATCCGAAACTTCACTTTGCCTCTGAGTATAGCATGCTGGTATTTTTTTGATACGAAGCATTGAGCTTTTGATGCAAATTACAATCTGTTTTATTAATTTTTCTATTTGAAAAATCTGTTGAACAGTCAGTAAGCAGAACGTTGTAAGAGCAGAATGGGTCCAAGAACAGAAAACTGAAAACTTTTAATTTTTACTGATTAATACGGGCAAATTGATAAAACAATTATCAGAATCGTCAAAAATACCAAGAAAGCGTATGCATTATTCATGAATTGAATGATTTCATCAAGTTGTTTTTTAAAAAATCTCGATTCAATGCATCAAATTATGCATAAAATATTAGTTTCTTTGGTAATATTGTCAATTCTTGATATTAATTTACCGATTAGCAGTTAAAAATTATTATTATTTTGTTTTTCTGCCCTTGGACCCATTCTGCTCTTAGACCATTCTGCTTATTGCTCCGCCTCCGAAAAACCTGTTTGTGACGAGCGGGTTGTATGGTAACTGAAGGCCCCATTTAAGTGACCGCACTGCAATTCAGACTACACTAAGTGTCTTTTTGTTCCGACTTTCGATACGAAAGTAACGGAATATTTGTGCTCGGGGTGGTTTTTTTTCAGACAAATTTCGACTTTTTAACTAGCCATTTTTGACGGAATTTTTTTTTATCATTCGAAAGCTATTGTTGTCCTGAGCTTATATTTTAAAAGATATTTCACCTATGATCATTTTTCGTGAAGTTATGAGGGTTTAAAGATTGCCATTTTGACCAAATTGGGACAATTAACGCGCGATATAATTCGCACTATTAACGCGTAAGCGGGGATTTAATCCGTCTTAGAAATCGTTCCAAATTAGTTGGAAGAAGCTTATTTGCCATAATTGATTTGTTACATGGAGCAAAATCTATCCTTTTGTACTTTATATGGCATGTGGGGGGATGATTTTCATAAAAAATTTCAAATTTTAGAAATTTTTTTTTTCATTTTTATTACATTTCATTAAACATTAAAAGGCAGTCGGAACATTCAGGGCTTCGCCCTGATACGAGCAGTCTTGTTTGTTTTTGTGGACAAAAGCTCAGCTTACGAGGGTCTTGAAAATCCGTATCGCAAGTGGCTATCTGATGGTTTTAAAATTACTGAAGCAAACCATTGAATCTATAAATTTCTAAAACAAGAAATGAACACATGATTGTTTCCTTTTGAAGGCCAGTCTAAGAGAAGAATGACCCATGAGCAGAATAATTCCAACCGTCATGTGATTCAGTAGTGATACTGCGGATAACAAATGTTTCACAAAACTTGCAATCACGGTAAAGACTCAAAAAGGCCGTTCAGTTCAGTTTGCTTATTTTTACTGATATCAAATTATTTGATTTTCAGCTGGACGCGTTCTGCTGTCCGTTTTTTTTATTTTCATACAAACAAACAGATTTTAGTCAGTAATCAACTGACCATTGAAAAATTTTTGCAGAGAAAATAAACGACATGCTTTTCAAACAGAACTAGAATAGAATACAGAGCGTGGTACCAAAAGCTTAACTAAACCATGATATTTACTTTTTTTCTCATGTTTGCGTCACTTTTTGATATCTTTCCATCGATTGATGCGAACAAAACACGAAATGGGGTGACCGAAGAAAAAATCTTATTCGAAAGACTTACCAACTCCCTGCCGAAATACTCCCCGCCTCAATACATGCGTAACAAAACAGTTCATATTTACGTCGACCTGTATCAAATATCCGATGTTGACGAACGAGAAGGCGCTCTGACTGCGAAAATGTGGTTGTGTTACTATTACTACTCAGATTCGGCCATATGGAACAGTTCTGAATAAAATGTTTCAGAACTATTTGTACCACCTGGAACTTTCTGGTCAGCTGATATCGGTTGGTTTCATTTTTTCCATCAATAATCCAATCCGCAGTTGAATAGTTTCAACCCATGAAAAAACGTATGAAATATTGTTAAAGAAACGTATGCAGCAAAAGTTTATGATGAGGACTTTTATCTCTAACGAGTTGCATGTTAAAGCAACCCGCGTCAACCCGGGTTTCATTTTGATTATTAAAAACTTTGATAAAAGTGACTCATAATAACAAAATTCGGTTTATGTTTTAGTGGCTCTG